CACGCCTGAAGCTATCAGCTCATTAACTAGTTCTAAAATTTTTATCCAGTAATTTTTTTTTTACACATGGTCTTGTCTTTATGACCAACCAAAAAATTCTTTTTTCAATTTTTGTTTAAATTAATCAATTAAAAGCTTAAAATGTTCACTTGTTTGTTGATAAACTACATTTTTTTTTAATTAAATGTAAATGTTTCGCAAGTATATTTTGATTAAAGTAACAGTATTTTATATTTTTTTAACCCTTTTGTATTTGGTCTTAAGTTTTTGACCAGGGATGAATATACAAATCTTCGACGTGTTGAATGTATTATTATTTTTTAAGGTCCTCAACCTCTTCATCCCAATTCTTAACAACCAGCATCCAGACTAAGTCTTCACTGTATCCATCATAATCTCTAACCCCTCCGGCAGCATGTCGTAACAACGTCTGATACATTTCTGAAAGGCCTTTGTCATACTGGAAACATTATAGCTTCCCTTTACTCTACCAAAATCATCGCCATTGATACTTGACAAACTTCATCCAGACCTAACACTAAATCAACACAACAAAGATACAAATAGACGTCATAAATAGACACAAGTTCGCCGAACTAAAACACAAATATCGAACCCTATATATTGACGGCTCTAAAATCTCAAATAAAACCAGACCAGCAGCTACTGACGGACAGTTTTACAAATAGATGAAGCTACCGAATCAAGTTTCCATATTTACAGCCGAGCTACAGGACATTAATATGGCGCCTGAAACTCATTAAAAGCTCAACCAACCAGAAATTCATTATATTCATAAATTCTCTATGAAATCTTATAAAACGAGAGAACAAACATCCACACATCTTAGCCATACTAGAAACGTATAGATAAATAATTAAATCACAAAAATCAAGTCATCCTAGCCTGGATTCTAAGTCATGTAGATATACCGGGCAAATTAAATTGCAGACGACCTAACTAAAGATGTCTTCAGCATGATAACAGACGAAATAAAAATACAAATATTTTTTTGTTGAATACAGAAACAAAATAAAAAAGAACATATCAAAAAAGGCAAACAATATGGAACTCAGAACTTAACAAATTATACGATAACCAACCATCTATAGAAGATCAGGTTTCAGAAAAATAAGACGGGAGGAAATAGTTTTATTCAGACTCCGAATAGGACATATACATTTGATACACTTAATATCTATTAAAAATTTTTCTCCCATGCAAATTATGTCAAGTACCACTCACAGTCCAATCTATACCCATAAGTTATCATCTCCGTTAAACCCGAACAAATTATTATCAAGGAAGCCATACAAAAGAATTCTTTCAAAGCATGAAACCAAACAATATCCTTAACTTCTTAAAGGAAATCAAATTTTACACCAAAATTACATTTCCTAAGTTTTTCCCATTTTTTCGATTTTTGAAGAGATTCATTTTTGTACATGAATCCGATTCTTAAACTAATTGTATCTATATTTGCGAGATGAGGTATTATGTACACTATTTACATTATTCGGCCTATTGTCCTCATCTTTGCCGCCATATTTATTACAACGTTTCGGCCTTTCAGTATCTGTCTATATTTCTGAGATGAGGTATTATGTACACTATTTACATTATTCGGACTATTGTAGATCTTTGTCACCATATTTATTACAACGTTTCGGCCTTTCAGTATCTGTCTATATTTCTGAGATGAGGTATTATACACTATTTACATTATTCGGACTATTGTGCTCATCTTTGTCGCCATATTTATTTACAAAGACCGGCCTTTCAGTATCTGTCTATATTTCGGAGATGAGGTATTATGTACACTATTTACATTATTCGGACTATTGTCCTCATCTTTGGCACCATATTTATTACAACGTTTCGGCCTTTCAGTATCTGTCTATATTTATGAGATGAGGTATTATGTACACTATTTACATTATTCGGACTATTGTCCTCATCTTTGTCTCCATATTTATTACAACGTTTCAGCCGTTGCACGTTCCGGCCTTCTACAGGTGATTGGAATATCAAACTGAACCCTTTATTTCGCTCACTGGGGTAGACTGTTCTACCATGTGCTCAAGGAAATATGCCATAGTGGATAAAGGCGTTAGTTAGATCCAATGACAGGACCCAAAGAGTGTGAGTTCAATACCCGGTTAAGGCACTGGAGAATTTGGAGAGAGGATTTAAAAAGAGATACCTGATAACTGACATCCATTAAACATGGCACGTGGAACTAAAACAGTCTACCCTATTGAGCGAAATAAAGGGTTCAGTTCGACATTCCAATCACCTGAAGAACGGCCGAAAACGTTGTAATAAATATGGCGACAAAGATGAGGACAATAGTCCGAATAATTTAAATAGTGTAATTGTGACGTATATTTTACATGTGAATCTAATTTCTTATCTAGCAAACTGTATCACATTTATTCTTGTTTCTGTGGGTAATCTCCTTTTTTTTTGTTACCTCAGGAAAGTGTCATCCTGTTCAAAGAGGCAAAGGTGTTTCCGGTCATGTGCAAAGTTTGTGACCCCACTTCCGGAAGTGACACTTCTTGATACTTTTAAATCATTAGATTCAGGCGTGTTTTTGCAGCGATCCTAAAGAAACGAGATTCCGTGACCCTCTCTCAACGTCATGTTAACTTAAGGTCGACCATTCTCTCATCTCACACTTTTAATTTTCCAACCAGCTTGTTGTGTTATTAACGACATTACCATCTTTTGATACAGGGCGAAAAACCAAATACCAGCCTACGACAGCGATTCAACCGATTTCAAAAAAACTTCACAGGACCACGTAAAATTACTTTGCGGTGGTTCTGACAGCGCCAAAAATTGAAAAAACACAATTGTTTTTGCACGAAATCAATTTGAAAACATGATAAAACACAATTCTGTCGCTAAAATGAAAGGGGGACAACTCATATCGAGTTATACTTATTATAAAACCCAGGTTGTTTGCGTGTGTGAGTGTTCGTTTATATATGGGATCGGATTTCCTACATTTTTCAACCGATTTCAACAAAACTTCACTTTTTTTTTGCAGGTAGTGTTTCTTATTGTCTTGCATACTTTTTTTCTTTATTTTTACATTCAGAATTCTTTAAAAATTCCATTTATAAGACAATTGTTTATAATAAAATTCTATTCAATCGATAGACTCATAACGATTGAAAACAATGTTTTTGTTTGAGTTTGGGTTTGACCAATTCGTAAAAAAACAAACAAACAAACAAAAAACTAATTAAGACATGCGTGTCCGTCAACCTTAAACAATAATCTTTGTCAATTTTATTTTTCAGTCTTTATGATGTTCGATAATTGATCTATCTTTTACTGTTACATCCCCGGGCAACGCCGGGCTCTACTGCTAGTTGTAAATAAATGTGTTGTGTCTTTTAAGATTTTAAGCAGAGGTCGTCATGTTTTTTTAAGTTGCGCCTATTTTCGAAAGTTGCTGTTTCTACCAACTAAATTTTGTGTCTGGCACAAGAACATGGAGTTGGTAGAAAAGTAAAATTTTTATACATAAGTTATCATCTCAGTTAAATCCGAGAAAATTATTATCAAACAAATAATACACAAGAACTCTTTCAAAACTCTAAACCAAACAATATCCTCAGGAAATCAAACTTTATACAAAAATATAACACTATAAAAACATCCAACAAAACTACACGAAACACTTAATATATTTTTGAAAACTGAAAAAAAAAAAAAATGGTAAAAAGAACCCTTCAGTCTTCATAAAGATCCTAACCAAAATTAGAAGGCCAGCTTTATTCACCAACTTGTCTTCCAAAATTACAGCATCTGGTATTCCTAAGCAGTCACCCATCTAGGTATTGACAAAGTTCATCGTTGCTTAACTCCAGTGATCAAACAATACAAAAGAACTCTTTCAAAGTATTCCACTTTACTTTGGGACTGACAACAAATAAGAAGAATACTTTCAATACAATTAAAGTATTTATTTACATGAAATACAACGGTTAAAACATAAACACTATGTCCTTTTCTAGAGACCAGCTGCGACTTGTTCCAGCTGAAGAGTCGAACTCTCTGCCTCTGAGCAGAGAGGAACCCGGACGTGACTCCGCCGGAGGGCAGAGTCTCGTTCGGGGACGTAGACTGCTCCTGAACCCGTTTAAGCGGGTTCAAATAGGGAATATTTTTGGCCGAGCATACTGTCTCAGAGAACCCACGTTAAACTGGCCTTGTGCCACATGCAACCCTCGTGGGGGTAGCTAAATATACTAGCTACGACCTGTTCCAGCTAAGCAGTCGAACTCTTTGTCTCTGGGCAGAGAGGAACCCGGACGAGGTTCCGCCGAAGGGCAGAGTCTCGTTCTGGGACGTAGACTGCCCCTGAACCCGTTTATACGCGTTCAAATAGGGAATATTTTTGGCCGAGCCTACGGGCTCGGAGATCCCACGTTAAACCCGGCCTTGTGCCACATGTAACCCTCGTGGGGGTGGTGGCTAAATATCACTATGTTTTTTTTCTATATAGAGAGAAATTATGTTAGGCGGACTTACCCATCTGATGAATGAAATTAACGCGAGGTAACTTGTACCCTTAAAACCCTCAGCAACCGGTACCGGTGGCGGCGGAGAGAATTTCTTCCGTGTCTCTCTACCTGAGAGTAGGCCTTGTCCCTTTTCTGGTGGTGGTCAGCCTTTTATGAACACACGTGATTTTATTAACTAATGAAAGACCGCCTATCGTCATGTGACCAATCTCTATATATCGGGGCGGACGAATTTTATAAACCCAACAAAAGCACGAGACCAAACAGTATCCTTAACTTCTTAAAGGAAATCAAACTTTATACCGAAATATAATCCCATAAAACACCCCCAAAATTATATGAAACATTTAATATATTTTTGAAAACTAAAAAAAAATGATAAAAGAACCCTTCAGACTTCATAAAGATTCCAAGCAAAATTAAAATTGCCAACTCAATTAACCAACTTGTCATCCAAACTTACAGCATCTGGTATTCCCAAGAGGTGACCCATCTAGGTACTGACCAAGTCCAACATCTCTTAACTTCGGTGATCATTGAAGAACCGGTATTTCAATGTAATATAGCCATTAATAATGAAATTAACCTATGCCTGCATAAAGTTTCCTTAAAATGTTAGCTCTTTACCTAATCTACCTTGCTGGTTAATGTTAATCTTTGGGCTGACAGATTTTAAAATTTAGGTGACCCCTTTCTTTAAAAAATTGAATGCCATGCACTAATGGCCTAAATAGATTCAGTCTCCTAGTTTAGTAGTTGCCAATCATCTTGGTCAAATCCAAACAAATGATCATCAAGCAAAGCATACAAAAGAATTCTTTCAAAACACCAAACCAAACAATATCCTTAACTTCTTAAAGGAAATCAAACTTTATACAAAAATATAACACTATAAAAACAACCAACAAAACTAAATGAAACATTTAATATATTTTTGAAAACTAAAAAGAGAAAAAAATGATGAAAAAACCCTTCAGACTTCATAAAGATCCCAAACCAAAAATAACAATGTCAACTCTATTAACCAACTTGTATCAAAAACTGAATACAAAATAACTTGTATTAGAAACCTGGATCTCTGTTAATCAATTAAAAAGTCAACTAACCTGTACAAAAGAAACTATCACAGATTTATATATAACATCAACCTCTACCCAAAGCAACGACAATTGAAAAACTTTTACGATCACGAGTCCCATAACTCATTAGAGTCATATGGCCACCGCAGTAAAAGTGGTGTGTCTTGGGCAAGAGAGCCTGATAGGAGACCAACACTCACTGGGTTGGTTTGAAATCAGCTGCTTTGAATTCTTGTTATTTAGAGAATAAACGGATGTGTACCTTTCCCAGGGGTATTAGCACATGGACCTGAGAACAATAGCAACTAAGATGTGGTTTCATGTACCCCAAAACATCCAATATCCTGATCAGAGGCCTTACTGATGGATGTAGTCTGTTATACCTAGGACAATGCAAACTCTATGAACCAACTTGTATCAGAAACTGAATACAAAATAACTTGTATTAGAAACCAGCATTTCTAATAACTGATTAAAAAAGTCAAGTAACCTGTACAAAAGAAACAATCACAGATGACATCAACCTATACCCAAAGCAACCACGATTCAAAAACTTTCAAGATCACAAATCCTATAACTCTATTAGCGTCATAGGGGCACAGCATGTACTGTAGCTGCAGCAGAAGTTGGGCGAGATAGCCTGATGAAGCCCAACCCTCTCTGGGTTGGTTTGAAATCAGCTGGTTTGAATTCTTGTTATTTAGATAATAAATGGATGTGTACCTTCCCCAGGGGTATTAGCACGTGAACCGCAGAATAACAGCAACTAAGAGGTGGTTTCATGTACCTCAAAATATCCAACCTCCTGATCAGAGGCCTTGCTGACGGATGTAGTTTGTTATACGCAAGATAAATACCAATGCAAACTCTATAAACCAACTTGTAACAGAAACTGAACACAAAATAACTTGTATTAGAAACCAGCGACTTTATTCAGTAATAGAGGAAGCCAACAAGTTCAAAATAGAGTTTCAAATGGGTGAGAAAATACAAGTAAAGCATAATACACCAACTGAAGCTGCAAAATACTTAAAGAAAGAAAGCAAAGGCAAATGCAACTGTTGTGGATCCCGAGATGAAATTCGGTCTCCAATGAATGACAAACGCAAGAATTAAAGATAAGAAATTAAATGTATTTACACAATAATACAAAGGGTAATACTGTTAGTAAATCCAGGAACGCGGTTAGTAGTAATAACATACAGATATATACAGTCTCGAAGTAGGACTTCCTTAGAGTCTACGTGCTTGTAACTGACTTCTACAAAGCGGTTACCTCACACTATTACTCTACCTCCAACTCAGTCACACTCTCTATCTCCGTTCGGATATTCTGACTGACTGTGGGTATTTAACGTCAGCAGTCCAAGTATTAGGTTGGTGCAAAAATAATGTCGTTTTCTCTTTTGAAATTATTCGACATTATTTTAGCACCAACCTAATAACACTGGTAGAGTCCACTTATATGAAAAAGGGGAGGACACCATAACAGCAACCGACCACATACAGAAACGATGGCAAGATAAAACGCTTCATGGTCAATACTCTGCCGGTATCAAACAACCTGATGTAGACAAACTTCGTACCCAGCGGTTGCTATATAATGCAGTATTAAAAGCTGAAACCGATGGTTTTATTCTTGCTGCACAAGACCAAGGCTTACTAACTAGAAATTACCAACCACATACTGAAAAATTGTGTTTGCCCAAAATGCAGATTCTGTGATGAATACCAAGAAACAATTGGCCATCTTGTATCAGGTTGTGCAGTATTGGCCCCCACTGAATATAAAACCCGACATGACAGAATGGGCCAATATCTGTACTGGAAAATCTCTATCTTTTACGGAAAGGAAACTGCGAGAAATTTGTATGAACGCCACCCAGACCAGATTACAGAGATCGGACCTGTTACAATTTTATGGGACTACACAATACACCCAGACAGAACAATCACAGGTAACCACCCAGATATTGTGATTAGAGATCGCAAAGACAAAAAATGCCTTCTTAATGATATGGCAGTCCTTGCAGACTGCAATGTACCTATGAAGATCTTCAAGAAGCTAGCAAAATACAAGGACCTTGAAATCGAAATCTCAAAAAAGTTGTGGCACATGAGAATATCAATAATTCTAATTGTAGTTGGAGCCCTCGGAATGTTTTTAAAACATTCCTATAGACTCATTGAAGGGATTTCTGGTAGCCCAAAAGAAATACAAAAATATTGTTCTCACGAGTACAGACCACACCTTACGAAGGGTTTTATCTATATAGAATATGTATTTTTTTTTTTTAATTGTTTAGTGGAAAATGTTATGATGCCATTTCTGACCGGAAAGAATTGAATATACACAAGAAATCAATAATAATAATAATAATAATAATAATAATAAGGCTACTGGGAGTGAAATAGAATGAACAGATTTTAGAAGAAGCCGGAAGTCCAATGCTTTATTTTACTCCTGTATTCACCTCCAAGCAAGGTGATAATGCCACTAAGATGCAAGGGGCTACTGGGAGTGAAAGAGAATGAAAATTCTTTAGAAGGAACCAGAAACCCAATCCTAAACAGGAAACAAGGGATAAACCTCTACTCCTCTATTCACCCTAAGGAAGGTGATAATGCCACTAAGATGCAAGGGACTACTGGGAGTGAAAGAGAATGAAAATTCTTTAGAAGGAAACAGAAACCCAATCCTGGACAGGAAACAAGGGATAAAACTTTACTCCTCTATTCACCCCAAGCAAGGTGATAATGCAACTAAGATGCAAGGGACTACTGTGAGTGAAAGAGAATGAAAATTCTTTAGAAGGAACCAGAAACCCAATCCTAAACAGGAAACAAGAGATAAACCTCTACTCCTTTATTCACCCCAAGCAAGGTGATAATGCCACTAAAATGCAAGGGGCTACTGGGAGTGAAAGAGAATGAAAAAGACTTTAGAAGGAACCAGAAACCCAATCCTAAACAGGAAACAGGAATGAGCCTCTGCTCTTGTTCAAAAGACCGAGGAGTAATGTTAACAGGGCGACAGGCCAACTTTATCTATCTATCTATCTATCTATCTATCTATCTATCTATCTATCTATCTATATATCTAATTCTGTTCACATCCATGTATCTCTGTTCATTATCTATCTATCTATCTATCTATCTATCTATCTATCTATCTATCTATCTTCTGGTTTCTTTTTTTCGTGTCAACTACAATCTTCCAACCATTTCAATGCAACGTCAATCGTCATCTTCTGTCTCCTTGAATCCTGGTCTTTTAATATCTTCTCTCCCTAGTAAAGTTTTCTTGGTTTCTTCGCCTTATTGTCTTCCATCCTCAGTAGCGCCTTGCGTCTCAGTGGCTTTTCCCGTTTTGCTTTGGGTGAAATGATTGTTTTTTAAATGTAGGTTTTGTATGGATGGTCAGTGCTAGCATAACCAAGTGTTGGTGTCCACAATAGAACATCATTTGACGCACTGCACATCCACCATACTCTCCACCTTCATGACTATTCTATAATCCTGGTATGGGTGGCTTCCAAACTTCCACTTATATCACAAGGCTGTCGTGTTCGTCTCCAGCGGTGTCAGACGGATGAGAAACTGAGCAGCAACAGATAAGCGTTGATAAGCTCAAGTCTTCTCTATTTGGCAATGGCTGTTGGCACCAAAAACGTTCAGCCGATTCGGAGAGGTGTTCCAAGTAACTTCATTTTGCGATAATGAGAGAAGACAAAAGGAAATAATTGTGGGCTTGCTAAACTGGCAAATACACAGCCGAAGAAGGAGATATATAGAGAGAAGACACATACACACACATAAACATATATATATATATATATATATATATATATATATATATGAAGAAAAATATACGGAAAAAACAAATAAAAATCCTAATATGCAATTATGCTGTTTTAATGTTAATATAATGTCAACGTCGGACGTTTCGGTCTAGTAGACCATCTTCAGGATATATTCATAAAACATAATTAACATTAGACTATATTCGATTCAACATGAAAAGACGATGGACATAAGAGTAAGACTAATCAAAACAAATAACTGAAATTTTTCAAGATCAGCGTTCCGTTTCAATATGATCACGTCGGCGTCACGTGGGCGATGTTGTAAAAACGTATTCCTAAAATTTGAGTATTTTGAATGAAAAATGAAAAGAATTTTATTTTAATCTAAAACTTATATGTACGTTTGTCGAGCATTAATCTTGCTAGAAAAGGGGAAATATTAAAGAAGCCTGGTATAGTGTTCACCGTCCGTGAGATAGATATTATGCCTAATGTTAATTATGTTTTATGAATATGTCCTGAAGATGGCCTACTAGACCGAAACGTCCGACGTTGACATTATATTAACATTAAAACAGCATAATTGCATATTAGGATTTTTGTTAGTTTTTTCCGTATATTTTTCTTCATACTGTCGGATCTATATGCATATATTTGCTTACACACACACACA